GCCCAGACAGATTGGATACCACTCACTCAGTGGAGATTCTACCTTCCTCCGAGCCCTCTGGAGCTAGTCTTGGAAGGGGGTTTGCCCTGTCGCTCATCTTCTTGAATACTTGTCTTCTCGTCTTTCATGATGTTAGGGAAATTTTTTTCTAATAACTCATGGACAACTTTTTCTATGCTTTATATTGTCTCTTCCTGTCCTGGAATTCCGTTTACCCATAAATTGTTACATTTCATGGTGTCCCATATAACTCCTAGGCTTTCTTTGGATTTTTTCATTCTTTTTTCAGTTTGTTCTTTTAAAATGCTAGTATTAAGAGATTTATCTTCAAGCTCACTAATTTGGACTTCCATTGTTTTAAATCTACTTCTTTGCTCTTTCAATGTATTGTCCATTTCTGAGATCTTAGTATTAGTATTCTGGATTCCTAATTGCAGATTTTGTATTGTTTCAAAATTTTCATTTATTTTGTCTGTTTGTTCTTGTAGTATTTTCTGAATTCTACTGTTTTTTCTTTGTTCCTCATGTTTTCCTTGATCTTTCTATCAATCCTTTGAAGGTACCTAAATATCTTTTTTTTTTTTTTTTCTTTTCAGTTAGTTCTATTACTTTTTCTTCCTCAGAAATGTTTTCTGTCTCTGGATCTTGGTCGTTTATTTGAGCCATTCCTTATTATTTTTTCATGTGAGCTAAAATTGTCTTTTGTCTCTGGGACACTGTGGGGTTATATTTGTATTTAATTGATAATTGATTGTTGGTGTGTTCTTAAAGTCTCATCTTAACTTGTTGTAGTTAGAGAATGGAAGCATGTACATTGTTCTTGTTCATTGTTTTGTGTACCTTGGGTGGGTTTGGCTGGTGTTGGCTGCTGTCTGTCATTGAGCAGGTCGTGTAGGAGCTGGTATTGGCTTTTGCCAGTGGGTGGAGCAGCAGAGAGTACAGTTGTGGCTGGGCTATATGGGCCAGGTTGCTGTCCCTATTGGATGGGAAAGATAACCGTCTCCACATACACTCACAATAAATAAAAGAAAACAAACAAGGAACCAACAATGAAAAGAGAAAAAAGAAAGACAGGCAGCAACCAGAAAAAAAATATATAATAACTATAAAGCTAAAACAGGGATAAGAAAATGGAGCTATAGAGAGAAAATAAAAAGAAGAAGAAAAAAAAAGCACTAAACTTTTTCTTTTTATATTCTCTTGGTTATAATTACAATAAATAATTATGATTTTAGAAGACCAAAGATGCCCTCAGGAGACAGAGCTGCTTCTTCCTCCTTCACTAAATCATTCACAGCTACCCCACCTTTTGGTTGCTTTCTTTTGTTTGCTCTCAATTTCTGTTTCCTCCCATTTTGTTGTTGTTGTTAAGTGCCATCGAGTCAATTCTGACCCATAGTGACCGTGTATAGGGTTTCCAAGGAGCAGCTGGTGAGCTTGAACCACTGACCTTGTAGTCCAAATGACTTTGCTGTATGATGCATTAGCCTACAGTACCACACCAGGACTCCATTTTGCTGTCTGTGTACCTAACCCTTAGATAGCTTGATCCCATCTGTGGACTAGGAAGCTAATAAGCAAATTTGTTAAAACTCTGAGTAAAGTAAGAGTGACTAGAGGAAAATGTGAGTATTCCTCTTTCAGGAAAGTGTGTGTAGATACATGGTCCTTACCATGGTCTTTAAAAAGGTATCTGAATAGCAAAAATGATGCATTTTCACTGTTCAGATGCCTTTTTCTTTCTCAGCCTTATTCTGGGAAGATGACATTGGCAGATAGTGACCCAATAAATGGTAAATGGGGTATGATTGCCTCATTGTGCTAATTTCAGCTTGTGGGTACTGTGGTTTCAACTCTAGGCAAGTTTTACATGAAGACAGACTAAACAAATCCCCCTCCTCACTTTGAAGCCCTTTACTCCTCCTTGCAAATACGAGGTGATTTCAAAAAGTTCTAGGAAAAATGCAATTAAAAGATAATGGAATTTTCCATGACCTTTTTGAAACCCCCTCACGTTCTCTAATCTCTACCCTAACAGCAGTTTTATTTTCAATTCAAATACAGACTCTTCGGGCAAAGGTAAGGCTTTAAAACTTTAGTATGAGTAAGTTTCCGACATCTCTGTGTAAGCACATTTTGCTAGAGACCACAGCTGTGTCCCTCTCACCAGACTAGAGCTCCCGAGAGGAAGATGGCTACATTCACATCACAACGTGGCCAGCTTAACACTAGTAAGTGTGTGCTTTTGTTTTACATTTTAGGCTATCCATCCAGGATATGGTTTTCTTTCAGAAAACACAGAATTTGCTGAACTGTGTAAACAAGAAGGAATTATTTTTATAGGTCCTCCTTCATCCGCAATTAGAGACATGGGTATAAAGAGGTATGAATTTTTATAGTTCTTTTTTTTTTTTGCATTTCTATCTATTTATGAAGGTCAATTGAAATGGATCATTTTAGCTATGATAGGTGTTTTACTAATGCCCTTTTATTGTCATTGTTGTTGTTAAGTGCCGTCGAGTCGGTTCTGACCCATAGCGACCCTGTACAGGGTTTCCGAGGGTGTAAAACTTTACGGGAGTAGAAAGCCTCATCTTTCTCCCGCGGAGCGGCTGATAGTTTCGAACCACTGACCTTAAGGTTAGCAGTCCGATTCGTAACAACTATGCTACCAGAGCTCCTTAGCATAAGTTATTTATCTGCCACATAGGGAAATCCCAGTGAGTTACTAAGTTGCAGAAGATAGTAACTTTAGAGTTTCTTTTTTCTTTCTTTATTGTTACTTTTTTTTTCTTTTCTAATCAATATAATAATTCATTTTGTGGGCATGAAAAACAAGTGGAACAAGCCACCACTTGGAGAGCTAACAGTTATTTTTTTATTTATAGTAATATGTATTATCTCAGACTGTAGTCTTGTCTTTATCTATGGAATATTGACTTTTAAAAGTTGCAATGTGTTTTTTAGATTGGATTATATACAAATGGGAGTCCTGGTGTGGCACTGTGGGATAGTGCACTAGATCACAAATTTGGATTGAAGCACATAGTCAGCGGTTCAAATTCACCAGCTGCTCCTAGGAACTCCTATACAGGGTCTCTGTGAGTAGGAACCGACTCAGTGGCACTTAACAACATATACAAATGCTGTATTTATGTTTCTTTTATATGAAATACTTCATAAAATTAGAGCGCAATTTCTCTCTTTTTACTCTAAAGCACATCCAAGTCCATAATGGCTGCTGCCGGAGTACCTGTGATAGAAGGTTATCATGGAGAAGACCAGTCCGACCAGTGCCTGAAAGAGCATGCCGGAAGGATTGGGTATCCTGTCATGGTTAAAGCTGTCCGTGGTGGAGGAGGAAAAGTAAGATACGTGTTCCCGTGCTTTCCATTTCAGACTGATCTTTTTTGTCTTATTTATGTTGTAGCCCTTACCATCTTTTCTCTCTTAGGGCATGAGGATCGTTAGGTCAGAAAAAGAATTTCAAGAACAGTTAGAATCAGCACGGAGAGAAGCTAAGAAGTCTTTCAATGATGATGCGATGCTGGTGGAGAAGTTTGTAGACACGCCAAGGTGGGGTGAGCTTTTTTTTTTTTATAACTTAGAATTTTTAAATTATAAAAGTAATGCATAAATATACAAGAGGGAAGTTGATGAAGACATGTGAAGATAGGGAGGATGGCAAGGGTTAAAGGGGATAGAGATTGTTGTTGTTAGGTGCCATCAAGTTGGGACCGGCTCATAGCGACCTTATGCACAGCAGAACAAAACACTGCCCAATCCTGGGCCAACCTCACTACTGTTACCATGCTGAGTCCATTGATGCTTCCACCTGGCCAGTCCATCTCGTTGGGGGGTTTCCTCTTTTTCTCTGACCCTCCACCTTACCAAACATGATATCCTTCTCCTGCGACTGCTCCCTCGTGACAATATGTCCAAAGTATGAGAGACGAAGTTTGGCCATCCTGGCCTCCAAGGAGCACTCTGGCTGCACTTCTTCCAAAATGGATCTATTGGTTCTTTTGACAGCCCATGGCACTTTCAATATTCTCCTCCAACACCATAACTCAAAGGCATCAATTCTTCTATGGTCTCCCATACTCACTGTCCAGCTTTCACATGCATATGAGGTTATTGAAAACACCGTGGCTTGGGTCAGGTGCACCTTAGTCCTCAAGCAGACATCTTTGCTCTTCAACACTTTAAAAAGGTCCTGTGCAGCAGATTTGCCTAATCCAATACATCCTTTGATTTCTTGACTGCTGCTTCCATGAGTGTTGATACTTGATCCAAGAAGAATGAAGTCCTTGACAACTTTAATCTTTTCTCCATTGATAAGAATGTTGTTAATTGGTCCAGTGGTGAGGATTTTTGTTTTCTTTACATTGAGATGTAATCTGTACCGAAATCTGTGCTCTTTTATCTTCATCAGTAAATGTTTTAAGTTTTCTTCACTTTCAGCAAGTAAGATTGTATCATCTGCATATCACAGGTTGTTAAAGAGTTCCTCCAATCCTGATTCCACATTTTTCTTCATAGAACTCTACACAGGGTTCCTACGAGTCAGACCCAACTGAACAGCACTTAACAACAACAAGGCAAAAATGGAGCAGATTATAGAAAAAATTGAAGTCTGTTTTTCTGTCTCTTTCATCTAAATTAGCATAATCTTGAGTTAGAATTGTGAAGATGGCAGTCACTATTTTGTTGTTAAGTGCCATAGAGTCAGTTCTGACTTACAGAGACCCTGTATAGGGTTTCCAAGGAGTAGCTAATGGGTTTAAACCGCCCACTTTGAGATTAACAGTCTAATGCTTATCCTGCAGCTCCACACCGGGACTCTAGGTACTGTTTTGGTGACTAACTCATTGCCACCATCAGTTTTTGAAGCTGCAAATTCTTTACTTGTGAAATATTAACTCTGCATTTCCTTGCAGTGATCTTTATTTCCCTAACAGTTGGGAAGTTCCTAGGAATGAAAGATCCAATAGTGTATTTCTTTGTATTTCCCCATATGTGAGGGGCCTTCAAAAAGTTCATGGTAAAGTAGTTTTAAAAGATAATCTAATTTCTCTATAAACTATTTAAAGCCCCTTCATATACTACCTTCTTTGTAATGCTCTCGTTTTTAAATGTCATCAAATTGATTCCGATTCATAGCGACCCTGTATACAGTTTCCAAGGAGCTTAAGGTTAGTGTGAACCACTGACCTCGCAGTTAGCACTCCAATGCTGATCCAACAGTACCACACCAGGACTCCTGCTTTATAATAGGCGTCAATAATATTTTAATGTGACTGTATTATATACTTTTGAAAAGTAGAGGCGATGGATTCGAGCTAATCCATAACTTCATTATTGTAATGTAAGTATTAGTATTTCCATGTATTTCAGTATTTATAGTAATATTTGCATGTAGTGATACATAATGTATATTATTTTATACCTTGCTAACTAATTACCTTTTAAATTAATGGAGTGCCTGAATATTGTCAAAGTCATGAAGGCTTGTTGTTGGTTTTTTTTTTTGTCAAAGATGTTTGCTCGAGTTGAAAATATATATACACACAAATATTTTTAGCAGTTTTGTTCATAATTGCCAAAAATTAATAATAACCAAAATGTCCATCAATAGATGAATACATAAACAAACTCTGTATATTCATACAATGAATTACTCAACAATAAAAAGAAAAGACCATTAGCCACAAAAAGACATGGAAGATTCTTACATGTTTATTGCTAAATATCAGAGGCCAACCTGAACAGTGATCCCAATTATATGACATTCTGGGTAAAGCAGGACTGTACAGTGAAAAGATCAGTGGTTGCCAAGGATTCGAGAAAATGGGGTCAGGGTGAATAAGTGAATCGTAGGCGATTTTAGGACAGTGAAACTTCTCTATGTAATACTGTAATGGGTATTATATAACATTTATTTGTTCAAATCCATAGACTTTTACAACAGAAAGAGTGAATATTCATTTAATGTAGATTTCTAAAAAGACATTTAAGAGGTTGAGAAAGCCCAGGAGAGATAAACCAACAGGAGAATCTACTATATTACAAATGTATGAAACAACATCACTGAAGGGAAAGGGAGAAAGGTGCTGACCTAAGTAGTTGTGGAAATGAAAGAAATTTGTAAGACTAAAGGCAAAAGAAAATGCACATAAGCCCTGTACTCTAGTAGATAAAGTTGTTTCTTTGGGGGTTGTAGGTTAACTCTTCTGTTACTGTTAATCCATGTATATTGGAATTGAACAGTAAAGTACCTAGATGGCAGATGGTGAAAGCAGGTTTCCTCACCTGTTGGAGTGGGAATTTACAGGTAAGTAAAGGAAGGCGGTTAGAATAGTATATGTAGTACACTGGCTTAGCAGTTTAACCACTTCAGTTAGAACTCATGTTTAGTATAGATATAGATGGCTGCATGTTTATTAGATACTAAGTTGAGCTTGCATGCACATTTCTTTCCCCTGTCACCTGAGATGGCCTAAAAGAAACGACATCCCAGTAGTCACAAGCTCAGCTGGTGGGCAGGTCTTGGTTTATAACACCATCCTTCACTGAAAGACACCAGAAAGCCTTGGGGAAATAGCTGCTTATAGGACTGGAGCAGGAAATAGCTAAGATAAGCCTAGAATATCTTGAAGTTCCAAAAAAATCTTTGAAGTGATTACATAAAGTGTTTAGTAAGGTAAACAAAAAGGAGTATCTCGTAGAGCCAAAAAATTGGGATGTGTTGAACAAAAGCAGCAGTAAAAAAATCTGCATTAATGATGTGTCAAAGGACCACAAGAGCCAAATGGAAAAAAGCCCAATGGCCAAAGCTGAAACAATCTGAGCAAGAAAACAAATAGGAGAATATTGAATCATAGCCCAGTACATGAAATAATCCACAAATCCAGAAGGATTGAATAAATGAATAAGTGCAGGATACGATAAATAAATCTCCAGAGCAGACGAATTCTAAATTGTGTAATGTTGTTGTTAAGTGCCATCAAGTTGGTTCCTACTTAGAGCGACTGACCCTGTTTAGATAGGGTTTCCAAGAAGCGGCTGGTGAACTTGAACTACCAACCTTGCGGCTCAAACTGACCTGGCTCTCCAGTGCTTATCCTATAGTGCCACACCAGGACTCCAGATTGTGTAGTACTTTTCCCTAGAAGAAGAGGGGCATAATATAACTCCCAGTCCATAAATAAGATCTGTGCATAAAGGCTTCCATCCAGAGAGTACACTGGAGGTAGGGAGTCAGGGGAGTATGGTATGGAGGAGAGCAAACTTAATGATGAAACCTGGTCTTCAAGATCAGTATCATTGCCCGTAAATCATGCTTATAGTTTGTTCTCCTGATGTGATGTGATGAAAATGGCAGTTTAGTCTATAATATTCCACCCCAAAACTTCTATCTCCACTGTAAAAATGAGAAAAAAAAACACAAGACAAATTCTAGTAGAGGGACATCCTACAATATACCTTGACAAGTACTTCTCAAAACTTTCAAGGTCATAAAAAAAAATAAAAATCTGTAAAAATGCTGTAGTTAAGGGGAGCTGAAGAAGACATGAGAGCTGAATTTAACATGGTATTCTGGATGAGATCTTGGAACAGAAAAAGGACACTAGGTTAAAAAAAGAGAGAAAACCTGAATACATTATGCACTTTAATTGGTATGTCACTATTGATTCCTAATTGTAACAAATACAGCATTCTAATGTATGATGCTGGAGTCCTGGTGTAG